CTGTCTTGGTGTCGGAGTTCAGGCTCTTCATTGACTGAGATTTCACAAACAACGAAGAAGTTTCTGACACTGCTGCTCCCCCAGTCCCAGGGTCCCCTAGCAAAAGAAGGAGGAAGAAAAACAGTTCAGGGAGTATTTCCAAAACCATAGGTTAAATGGGCTTAACCTGCAATCAAAGTAACCTTTTAAGGTTACTTAACCCTTTAAGCAAGGGTGGGCTATGATCTTATTCACTACGAAGACCATCCCCAGTGCAAACAACTGTCAGTACACCAAACTTGGCACAGATGGACAGGTAAACCTGTAAACCTCAGAAGTTCAGGATTAATCAGGGAAGAGGGAGAGAAGTACCCTGACAGTGAATCCACCTTCGAGTCACAGCAAGAATCGCCACATCTGTAGCAGTTGCCACATCCATCACTATCGCCTGACCCCTTCTTCCAAGAATTCCTCTGCTGGGAACAAGCAAGCAGCAGCACCCCCTGGCCCCCCATGAAGATCAAAGGTTTGGCAAGTGGCCCCAAGCTCTGCAAAGAGAAGTGCTTCGCTCCTCTTGCATTGTGTTGTTGCACAGCAATCAAGTGCAGGACGGGACCGCCAGCGCTGGGGAAGGAGGGCTGAAGTGTGTCTTACCTGGCGAGTGGCTCCGCTGCCTCCTCCAGTACCTGCTGCTTGAGCTGGTGAGCCTCTTCTCTCTAATCCGAGTCGGAGGAGGGTCTCTGGGATGCTGACGTTACCGGGCTTTGCATTCGTATCAACATGATGCCTCTGTGTGTGTGCCTTGCATGTCTGAGCAATTAACAATTCTTCTCGCTCAAACCGGGGAAGGGGGGGCAAAAAAAAATAGGTTTTCTTTCTGCAGGGTTATTTAAATAGTAAGTAAAGTAGATGCTGGTGAGCGGCTGATGCTCCAGGCTGTTCCCTTCAGGAATGAGGGACACGGACAGCACCCAGGGCTGGCTGGATGAGGGATGTGTGAAACGGTGGGAAGCGAGGGATTAAACTGCTTCAATAGGGAACAGTGGCTGGTTTTAACAAAGGAAGATGCCCCAGAGGGAGTGGGAGGAGAGTAAGCAACGTTACAGCTCGCAAAATGAACAAATAAACAGACCTTGCCAGATCTGTGCTGGTTTCAGCTGCTCTGGGGGAGTTTGGTTGATTTTTTCCCTAGATGGGTCTCTGGTGCAGCTTTGGAAATGCAGTGAAATCCTTCAGATGTGCATCAGGAGGTGCAGGAGTCCCGTGAAGCTTGGCAGAAATGCACCCCAGGCTATAGAGCAAAACCAGCAACGGTGTAAGATCACTTTACATTCATGTCCCTAGAAAAAGAAGAAGAAGGAAATCGAGGGTCTCTTGATTCTCCTTTAGTCCTTTAAATATTGCCTGGCCTTCGTTTCAAGATGAGGCAAGGGAAAATGCAGCGATCTGTCGGTGCCATGCCTGGCTGTGTGCATGTAACCAAACTGGTCAGCTTTTTGATCTCAGCTGTGTAGCCAAGAACTGTGTTTGACTTTGCTCCTCTCCTGTAGATGTTTACACTCTTCTGGCAAGATTATTGTGCATCGGTAACTGGGGTGGGGGGTGAAACACTTCATTGCACTTGGAGGTAATTTCTTAGAACCATGGGTATAACTGACTTTTTTCAGCAGATGGAAATTTTTTTATGCCCAGTGTACCAGATATTTTCTTTATCTTGGCTGAAATCTTGTCCAAACATTAGGCTTAAGGAAAATGAAACAGAAATTATAGTGCCCAAAAGATGCATAGGAATGCTATAGATGGTATTTCTTCAGATGAAACACCCCTGGAGCCGCCTTCTTGCCTGTTTTGGTAAAGCTGGTGCAGTTTGTAAGTAGTTGTAAATGAAACAAGGTATTGATAGGTCTGCAGGGAGAAGGCAGTTTCCAGGAATCGCTGTTGTCTTTTTCAGAGAAGAAAGTACAGGAAGGCAGAGAAATTCAGGAGAATGTGATGTTACGTTTGCTGCTCTGTAACTATTCCCCAGGACGAAAGGTTTTGAAAGTATTTTGCATCCACAGTCCTTCCATCGAGGCTTTCTGGTTTCCAGCACTCAGCACATCTCTGGAATAGCTTAAAAGCCGTCCTTTCACTCACCAAACTATCTGATCTTGGAATTGGCATCACACTGCCCTGTCCAGTGGTGATGAGCCCAGGTGCTGCGTGTTTTAGGGACTGTTGTGATGGGCTCAGAGCTGGGGAAGGATGCAGAGACTGCGATGCTGGTGACACTCCCTCTGCCTTGTGCCTTACTCCTCATTATCCGTAGGGAACACGCTCTCCGTGCCTTGGGTAGGATGTGCTTGATTAAAATAACCTGCAGAGATGCGATGGAGACTAATTTAATCTCATTGCCTGGTGTGGGTAGAGGGGCTTTTGCTTCTTATATCCCCCACACAAACTCCTGGCACCTGCTTTCTGAGCTGTGCTTCTTGCATAGTTCTTCAGTAAAACTTGCTTGCTCTGAGGAGGACGACTGCCAACAGATCTGAATTCATGTAGGAAGTTCCCTTCCACCAACAGAGAAAATCTGTCCCGTGTGGCTCTGGGTCTGACCAGAGCAAGTGGCTGTGCACAAAGGAGGCACATCATGTGTATTAGTGTGATGGGGAGTGTTGGAGGGAAGGCTGAGAGGATGTTTTATTCATTGTGTTTTCTCTGCCTGGGCATCCCTTCCACTTGATTATAAATGTTATGTTGGTATGAAACCCTGAAAGACCAAGCACTGGTTTGAAGATGCTGTTACGAAGGACATGAGCAGTGTTTTCCTTCTGAGCTGCTCTTGTGTCAGCAGCTCCATTATCAGCTCGTGTAACAGGGACAAAGTTTCCATTCCTGCCAAATCCCTGCCATGGAGATGGACTTTGCCTCTTGAAAGCCACGTTCGCACTCTGCAGCTCGAGTTAACTGTGCAAAGAAAAGGTGTTTTAGGGAGGGGGAAATCCCTGCCAATGCTAAATCAATGGTGCTTTATTGCCTTCATAAACCTGTCATGCTGCTCACTCCAGACAAAGACAACCCACCATTCTGGAGTTATGGAGAGCCTGTTTTGTTGGGCTCCTGCTGCTGTCGAAGAGTCAAGTTCATCCCAAGGACACAGATACACAATCAATACCCTGTTTACCAAAACAAAATGTTCTCGTCTGACTGTCTTGCAGTCGCTGGTTATTAGGGTGATTTATTTGTATGAGGTGTTCAGGCTTTTCAAAAGCACTGCAGGTTAATAATAGAATCAAGGAATAGTTTGGGTCGAAAGGGACCTTTAAAGTCCAACTGCCCTGCAGTGTGCAGGGACAAAGCTAGACCACATGGCTCAGAACCCCATCCAGCCTGACCTTGAATGTTCCCAGGGATGAGGCATCTAACCACCTCTACTGGCAACCTCTGCCACTGCCTCATCACCCTCATTGCAAAAACTTGTCTTGTATGTAACCCAAACCCACCCTCCTTCTGTTTAAAGCCACCCCCTCTTATCCTGTCACAACAGAGCCTGCAAAAATATCCAGAACCGATTATGTTAAACAGTCTGCAGTGGCTTCTGCTGAGGAAAGCCCGTGTGCCTGGTCAGGTTACTTGCTACAGGATAACATTCACTGTGCTCTAACCTCTTCCTCGGGACTGGCTCTCCTTGAGCTGCTCTGATGCAAGCTTGAAGGCGTGGAGAAGTTGGCCACTGCATCCCCAGGAAGCACCTGCTCCTCCTGGGTGTGGTGCTCACTCAGCAAAGGGGCAGTTGGTGGGTATTGAGGGGAACTGGAAAGGAGAAACCTGAGCTCATTCATCACCCCTATGCTGGGTGCTTCTCCCTTTGCCACAATCTGGCTCATGTCCTGCTGCTTCCTAACCCTTCCCAGCTGTATTGAGCCAGGCTGGCTTAGCCAAGTGATGGTGCTCCCCTTGTGGGACAGCCCCGGGATCCAGTTAGGGGTGTAGGTGCTGATTTTTATGGGGTATGAGTGTAGGGCAGATGTCTCCGTCAGTGAACTGGTAAATTGTGGGGCAGAAGGTGCCTTTGAATGGTAATAATTGCTATGGTGATAGCAGGGGCTGGTGACACATCCAACCCGTCACAAGCTGCAGTGAAGGCAAAGTGGTATTGGAGGTGATTTAAGGAAAATCGTAGTAATGAGTCTTATAAATGGCCCGTTTTTGTCAGGGAAAGTACATATCAATAACTGCTCTGTCTGTCTCTGCAGGGGAGCAATCGAGACAAATGCCATGTTAACAATTTACTCAGACCAGATGTGATGGGGAATAAAAACTGCAGCACCAGGAGGCGGTGGGTGGCTGAAGCTGATTGCTCCCTGCAAGCCAGGAAGGAGGCTGTGAAGCTCCAGCAATGGGTCAGTTCTCATCCCCAGCAGCTTTTGGAGACCCTGGCGCTTCTACCAAGTATCTCCCAGCCCTGTGGCATGCCTGGGGCCACACAGAAGTATCACCCAGCCATAGAGGGTGAGTGGCATTGCAAGAGTCTGCCTGGCTCGCAGCAGGAGCCCATGCACTCGGAGGTGTGGTAATTAATAGAGCTCTGGCAGTGTACCCGTGACCGTGTGAGCAAGGACACAGTACGAGTCTTGCTGCAATTAATATGAATCTGTGAGAATTTAGAGTGCAGGCAGAACACTGCTTTCAACACCCTCATTTCCTCCCCCGCCCCCCACATTGGTCTGGCTTCAAACAGCCTTGTTACAGAGAGAGAAATTAAAATCTGCTTCCTTTACAGGATGCTTTTATTCTCCAGCATTTTTTCCCTGCTTTTTCTCAGGGCTGGAAGTGAGCCTGTTCAAAGCAGAGCTGTTTGGGAGAGGAAGGTTTCTGGAAGGGGTCTGTCCCATTTTTCAGTGATGTTCATCTCCTTTGCATGGTCTGTGGGGCTCCCCTTGTGTCTGTGCTGTCATAAGCAGAGATGCTGCTGCCTCATCCTCCTAAACTGGAAGTAGGGGAAGCTAATCTGCTGGATCAATCTATGGATCAGTTTGTCTTCGGGGCTCGAAGCTTTTGTTGTTCCCCATCTCAGGCTTCTTCCCTCAGCCCATGTGAGTCACAGCTTATGTGTAATCTGACTGTGGGACCTGTGCCTGTGCAGGAAAAAGCATTGTATGTGATGGGACCTTGTGCTGCAGTACTCCAGGGTATAGCTAATTGCTTCTTTTTTAGCTCTCTTGGAACGCTGTTAACTCCAGAAGCTCTCAATGACCATTGGATCTGACTAAAGGGTCTGTTTTCCTGCTGTTTGCCTTTATCAGATGTGTCTGCAAGGGGATTCTTCACCACAGTTGCTGGATTTCAGAGGTAAGAAGCAAGAAATGAGGAGGAATCCTAGTTTAAAAGGATGGGAGTAAAATAGAAAAAAAAAAAAAGGATGTTTGTTGCCCAAATTGGGTGGATTGGGAATGGATGTGAGTCAGCAGGTAGAGATCTGCTCTTCCCCAGGTCCCTGTCCTTTCTCGTGCTGTGCTTTTGGCAGATGAGGGCTGTGTAAGGTAAATAGTGCTGCAATCCATCGGCATTCCATGCAGGAATGTACATTATTTAGTTGCTATTAATCTGGTTGTTACACAGCTTCTGAGAGCCCTTGGTTTCTGCCACTTCCAGGTGATAGGAACTGTCATGTCAACTTCTTTAAAGCCATCCAAACTGTCACTTCTGAGAAGTCACCCTTTCTGTCATTGCTTGGCCTGCTTTGAAAAGCTTTGAGTCTTTACAAACAGCAGCATTGCAACAGGGCCTGAATGCATCCTTGGAAAAACAGCCCCGAGCCCTTCAGGGATGCTGGCCAGGGAGTAGGCTCTGTGCAATATATTCCAATATCTCTAAGCAACAGCCTAATGTTTTGCCTCTCTGCTTAAGCAGCAGACCTCCTCTGGCCTAAAAGCCTAATCAGTGGAGGGTTATGGAGTGTAAATTGCTGCTGAATAAATTCACTGCTTTTTTTTTCACTCTGGTTTTCCCCTCCCTCCTGTGTTTTGACAGTGAAATGACTCATCTTCACCTTAATATCATGTGTTAGAAAAATGTTCTAATATTTTCTACAATGTTCATTGTAGAAGAAAAACCCCAACAAAACACATGAAATCTGTCTTCTGGCACATTTTTGAGTTCAATTATACAGAGCCAGCACCTTTCTCCAACACTCTTCAGGCCAGCAAACACTGTGGAGTGCAAGAGTTATGATACCAGCAATTGTCATAAGGCAAAAAGAGAAGCAGGAGGCCTGGTTTGAACTCTGTGGCTTTTGGACTGCAATCACTTATAACAGCTCCCTTTTGCCATTAATACCAGCCTGACCTACTCAAAGAGGTCATTGTAACTCTCGTGGCTGAATATGTGCGAATCAAAATTCAGCTTTAGGAGCATGAGCCTTGTTGGATGTGTCAGTGTGATGGAGAAAATGTAAGTTGGATAAATGTGGTGAACTGAGCAGGAAATGGTGAGCTATGTGTTTTTTTTTTGCTGTTGTTTTATTTGTTTGTTTGTTTTCTTTGTTGTTGTTTTGGTTTTTTTCCTTGTTTGTTTGTTTTTTGGTTAGTTGGTTGGTTGGGTTTTTTTGTTTGGTTGGTTTTTTATGTAGAAAAGCTATTGCTGAGGGACTTCTGCTGGGAGATCTGTGCTTTATGAAATTCTTGCCAGGGGGCAGAGGCAGGCTGGAGAGCTGGAAATGATAACGCTGCCTTCCTCTCCTCTGCTACTTTAATTGTTTGTAATGATTTAATAAGCGGCACTAAATAGGGAAGATGATCCTTCCCTGCAGCAACACAGGCATGTGGCATTTTATTACCTCTTCTAGGGCATCTGTTTGGAATTTCTTTGCTGTATTTCCTTCACAGGCTTGATACAAAGCCTTAGGAGGTCATCAGGAAAACTGTGGACTTCGTGGTGCCAAGGCTCTGAGTGCTGAATCTGCACCAAATCCATGCAGCCACCTGGGAAGAAGATAATATGGAGAAATGGCATAATTTAAACAATGAAATACTCATGGCTGTGGTACCTTTATGTGTACAAATGCACATCAGGGAGAGGAAGAGCAAATTAGGTACAAGCTCCGAGTACTGGCAGAAGAATGAATGGAAAAAGCTTTCTGTTTAGGCTGGAAATCAGGAGAAACTTTGTGCCTGTCAGAAGGGTGATGACGTGAAGCAGCTGCCAAGTGTCAACAGACAGATGGAGAAGTGAAATCCCAAACTGAAGGCTTTTAAGGTGGAGCTTTTTGGATGCTGGGGTATTTCTCTAATCTGTCCCCACCCAAAATAAAAAACCCCATCAGATCCCCTGCTTCTCCCACTCTGTCTTTCCCACAGCTCAGATCCTCAGAGTTTTCCCTTAAACTACAAGAATTGGAAATTGGATGTTTTTTGCTGCCTTCTTGGTATTGTGCAGCTCAGGGGGAAAGAAACTTCTCCCTCCTTTCATTTTCCTGCAACAAAGCATTTTGTTCCTCTCTCTGAAGGACTAGGAAGAAATGCTTCTATTAAAGCCAAATTGAATTGCTTATCATTTGGAACAAAATAACCAAGTTATTTATGTTCAAAATAACTCCAAAATTTTGAAGAGATCTTCTGAGAAAATATTTCTCTTGGTTACTGATTACAAGTGCATATGGGAACAAACTCTTTGCCATGAACCACTCAAAGAAGTAATTTTCCCCCAAAGAGTAGATGTAATTACATTTTTCTGGATGGAAAGAAGAAAGCAGTAGTGGACCAAAGGAGCTCCAAGCAAATCTTCATTTGCTGTCAGTGACTGAATTACATGCACATGGCTACAATCAGCTCTGCCAGACAAAATGCTGCTTTTTGGATTACTGGGGGTTTTATCAGAAATCTTTGTAGCATGAATAGTTCCTGGATTTGTCTCTCTTGGCTTCAGTTGTTCCTGCTGTCCATCATATCTTGCTTTTCTAAGGCAGCTCTTGTCATTACATTGTCCTTTAATTCAGATATCTGAGTCTTTTTCTGCTTCTAGCCCCAGTATTCAGTGATGGCCTCACAAGTGAAGGCAAGGAGCTGGCAGGTGATAATTTATGAAACTCTCTATAATGGGAAAAACTCAGCCTTCAATTTCTGTCTTCTTAAAAAATGTCTGTTGGGTTTTTTTTTCTTCTCCTTCCTCTTGTGGTCTTCATGGCTGGTCTGAATTTAGTGCTTGGAAATGCAATTATATAGATCTCAATTATTTTGAGACAGAATGACCTTGTATATAAAATTAAAGAAATTAAACCTACTGATATTTTGGAGAAACTCTTAAAACCTTTAATGTTTGGGTCTGCCCAGTTAAAACTTTTCTATGGAGTTTTCATTCCTGCTTCATGGCCTTAATGTTATTTATTTAAACAATATGCCCAGCAACCTTTCCCTGGCACAGGGGGATGGAGGATGAGGCATTGCTCATCATCCTGCTGAGGCTGTAAACCTTTATCCTCCAACTTCTTCTCAGTAAGAGACTTGCAGAGCTTAAGAATAAATGGATGCTTTTCCCTTCTCAGTGGGCATTTATTATTCAGGTATGATAAATGGTATTATCACCCTGCAGCAGTGATGTGTGAGAGAAGCAAAGTAACTCATTTACTGCTCGTTGTACCGTAGGACCAATAGCTGAGCTGTTTGTTGTCATTTCTTCCCTTCTACCACTATCTTTTCTAGCCCAACAGACGTGGATGGAGGGCAGAGGAAGGAGCAGACATGTTACAGAAGGGGATCCAGGTGGGAATAATATTTATGGGAAGATTGCCCACACCTCATCTCTGCTACTGTGTCAGCTGCTGGAGTAGATGGAATGTAAATAAATGGCTTTTCACTGCTTTTGTTGCTTCCACCTCTGGAAGTGTTCCAGGCCAGGTTGGACAGGGCAACCTGGTCTGGTGAAAGGTGTCCCTGCCCATGGCAGTGGGTTGGAACAAGATGATCTTTAAGGTCCCCTCCAACCCAAATCCTTCTTTGAGCTCTTTTCAGTTTTCAATCCTCTGTTATGTGTGTTATCTCCCAAATCCTCTAGAAAAGAGCTAATTGGGTGGCAGAGGAAGGAGACAACGATTGAGGAAGCAATGCCTGGCCTGGTTTTAATGAGATAGTGCCTGTTTGGCTGCCCAGGACCCCAGCGACCTGATGAGGTGTCCTGACAGCAGCTGTCCTTCTGCTGGGCCATCCCAGTCCCCTGGGCTGTAAATGTGCTGGATCTGATGGACAGTGAACACAGCCGGATCCTTGTTGTTCCCATCCCACTCAGGACTTACTAATCATTCCTCTTCCTGCTGTGCCTCCATCCCCTTCAGAGGCAGGGCTGAATCTGAGGGTGACTGGATGTTTGAAATGCTCCTTTTGCAGGGGGAAAAGGAAGGGTTTGCAGTTTGCTGAGAAACTACTTGCAGGAGATGAGGGGAGCTGGCAGGTCTGGTGCTGTTCCTGCTGTAGTCCCCCCTCACTGCAGGAGCTGTGCCTTGGGGCATGGACAACTTCTACCCCAGAGCCAGCACTTGGGTGACACCATCAGCTCCACTTCGTAATTACAGCAGTTTGACATCCAGACTTGTGGATCTGGAAGCAGTTAGTGCCTGGCCAGCCTCAGAACACAGAAGTTATCTGATTTAGCTGAAATCTCTTTCACTGGGGACTGAGTAAAATTGCCTTGTATTTGCTCAGCGCTAAAAATCTGTCTGAAGCTGATTGCCAAGACTTGCTGCAGCTGCTGAGTGATGGGATAAGCCCTTGCAACAGCAGCATGAAACGGGAGACTGGGAGAGAAATATTAAAAAATGACTTTTCCAACCATTTACGGGCTTTGATGTTCTGATGTTGGCTTAATGCTGTCAAAGGGCTTGATTTTAATGGTTGTAGAGGCACTAACTTGGGCAGTGAAGTGCACCTGAGGCAGCAATTGCATCTCTGGTCCCTCCAAGCTCCTTCATCTCCCTCCTCAGCACTGAAATCCTTCAAGGACCAAATGAATCTGGGGCTCTGGGAGGGCTCAGTAGTGACAGGTTTTGGAGAGATTTGAGGTAGGAATTGGAAGCAGAAGCAGAAATCGTGTAACCTTCATCTTTGTGCTCTCCTGCGTGCTGATACAGCCTGGAGGAGGCAGGGATTCCACAAAGCACCTTCTGTATCTCCTGTGGGAGGAAAACAAGTACCAAATACATTAATTTCTTGGAGTTTTGGGAATGTGTTGGGTGGCTGTGCTGCACCCCAAGGCCATGCTCTGCTGGTCTTTGTTCTGGCTGGTGCTTCCAAGCTGTCCTCTGTGCTTTTTGTTTACAAACCATCTCTCTGACCAGCCTGCACTTTGCTTTAAAAATTCAGCACCACATTGGCGGCTGAATGGGTCCCAGAGCTGGGGAGAAGGATTTGAAATGCAATTTGCATCGCAGAGTTGTTACAGGGAGGAAAATGCCGCATTCCTCCTGTGCCTGGAGCTGCTAATCTTGTTCTGAGCGCTGAAAACCTCTCCAGCTTCTCTCATTATAACTAAATTTGATTATTGCTTTGATTTCACACCTCTTTCATGCTGGCTTTTCCTCCCACCTTGGCTGGAAAGGTCAGCCCTGAGAAGAGAAATTTTGCTGAGCCTTGGCATTGTTCACATTGCCCATCCCTGTTCTAACGCTGCTTTTAATTATCTTGGGAATTTGAGCACGGAGGGACTTGGGGAGACTTTACAGAGGGGAAAAATAAGGCACACAGGCCGAGGTGTAAATGCAGAGTCTGGGTTGCCACAGTCTGCAGCATCGTGGAGTTTGGGCTGTGAATGGGCTGCTCCTCCTGCGTGTCCCCTGAAATTCCTACGTAAATGGCAGTGGGATGCGAATATGTTATCCCAGATGGTAAACTGAGCGTGATGAACAACACGGTCTGTCCCTGCCCTGTGTCCGAAGGTGACCGGGAGCAGATGTTCCCAGCCTGGCGTGAGGATGAAACGCTGCCAGCATGGAGAATTCTGCGTCTCCTGAGCCAGGGGTGTTCAAAGACTTCTCACTTTCTTTGCCTTGCCCCCACGCATTTTTAATGCATCCTTCCTTCAGGAAAGTAGTTGAAATGTCTAGACACCAAATGGGTTAAAATACTTGGGCTGTTTTCAGCTCATCCTCTGTGTTATTCCAGAGTGAGTTTGGGTTTTTTTTCTGCAGATGAAGAGTTACTTGACATTTCTGGCATAAATTTTTTGTTTTGTTTTGTTTTTTTTTTTAAATCCCAGATTTTGCAGTCAGCTCTTTTTTCTGTTGGTATCACACAGTGAAGCTCTTGAAGGCCCATTTTGGAGAGCAACTGGTGCTTGCTTTCTGGGGCACTTCAGGCTGCTGCAAATTCCCTGTCACTACAACCTGTCACTGCTGTGAAGTCCCTTCACAACCCCGCTGTGAAGGGACTCGGGAGGGCTGGGCAGAAGGGACAGCTCTGAGAAGTGTGTGGTACATTGGTGACGTCCTAGTAGTTATCTTTGCACTGGGATAAAAATGTTTGCATGGCTTGAAAGTCCAACAGATCTGGAAACTCTGTGTGTTGCAGGAGTTGTACTGAGCTTGTCTGGCTCTGAAATATCATCTCTGCACCTTAACCAGGAGCAATATTAGAGTCCCAGCTGACTAATAAAACTCAGTCTTAACCCAGGAGCAAATTCAGCAATGCATGTCCATGGCAGGTGAGGAGACTAAAAGCTTTCATTAGGTTTGTTTTCTTGGAGAATGAACTCAGCATTTAAAAACCTCTTTCACTGGCATTAAAATACTTTCTCTCCTGTTTCAGCTCTGACCTAAACTACCAATGTCAAGTGTTTTGTTTTTCTGTGTGGTCGTTGGGGGTAGGTTCTTCCCCCCGCAGCTCTCCACTGGTAGTTGCCAATTAAAGATGTGCTGGGGTGGATGGTTCAGATATTTTGATGCCTGAGCAGGGACTGCAGAGCAGAGATTACAAGCACTGACATTTGCTGTGCTAAAAAGTCCAAGGGAAAAATTTGTGCCAATTAATATCACACCTTTAACTAGGAGGATCAAGTCATGTTAAGCTTGTACCAGAGTCTGGTGACAGAGCAGGGGAGGTCTCCAAAGGGAATTTCTGTCCATGTAGAACCTGGTGATGCCTTTCCCCTCTGCTCCACATGGACAGCAATATGTTAGATCAGTTGGTATCAAAGCTGGAGGGTGGCAAATAACATCAGGAACTGAAAGGATAGGTGGTACCATTAGACCCAGGTTTGTCTCTAAATGTCTCTAAAATTAATAACAGCAGAGGGGCAGATGGTGGGATGTTTGCTCTGCTCTAACTGATGAATATTGTCTCTATTTTTTTCCTGCTTTTCTGTCATGCTGACGCAGGTTTTGCTGTTTGAAAGGGAGCTCAGTGCATTGTCTGTTGTCTTCTCCCTTTGTGAAATGTTGAGCACACAGAGCCCAGGCAGGCTGATGGTGTAAAGCAAAACCTGCAAGTGGTCTAACCCAATCAGAAATAATTTCTGGTAAGTCGGCCCTGGTTTGCATTCTTTTGAGTTTGGCAGTTGAAACTTCACCAGTCATTTATTAAAAACAAACAAACAAAACCCAAACCAAATAAAACTGTAAAACCTCAAACAACCCCCTCCCAAACAAACAAATAGGCAAAAAACCACCCCCAAACAAAACCAAAGGGAATGAGGTGTTGGTATTAGTGAATATCACAGCAGGCAAATGGCTGTTTCCCACAGGATCACCACAAAAAGCCACATGTAACAGCTGCTCAAAAATATACACAGCAGGAGAAATATAAAAAGTGATACATGGCAACTCAGGGGGCAGCTGTGGCAGCTTTGCATTAAGGTGAGGGATGGGCATTTGGTGGTATGGATTCAGTATACCCCATCCTCCAGGCTGCTGTTGGCTCCTGATGAAAGACCCTTGCGTGACCTTGACTCCTGTCAATGCAATATAAATCATTCCCTCAGCTCTCTGTTGAGCTCTGGCATTTTCAGAGCAGGATTCAGGCCCAGTCCTACTGCCTGCTGAGCATCTGTGGAATATCCTGAGCATCTTCACCCTCAGAACCAGAAAATAGCTCAGATTCTCTCACAGGAGGGTTTCCAGTATCTCTGCAAGACTTTTTTTGACCTCCAACACATGTGACTTCATGTATGGTGATGCATTTGGGTTCCTTCCTTGCTCCTGTGTGCTGGTGAGTCATTAATCATGTGTATGGAGGATATGGTGTATTGAAAAACACAGTCCTGGGTTGTCATTTTACTTCACTGTCACTCAGCTGAACATGGTCCTCATCTAAGAAGGACATACAAGAAATGTGTGGGAATTTTGGCTTGGCAAGGAACAGAAAGCACATTTTCTATATCAAATTCCCAGCTGATGCAGTTTGACTGGCAAAGGAGTGAATCCAATTCATCTTCCTGGGAGGAATGCAAAGACTCATTTGGAGATGACAGGTTCAGCTGACATCCTGTTTGGTGTACCTCATTTCACACATCCAATTTCAAGGGCCATTAAAATAGGCTCATGTTTACTTTGCTACACAGAAGTGCTGTAATTATTCAAAGGGAGACCAATAAATGACTGGCCTGTGGGACCTGTCACAGTAACCTCCCATGCACAGACATCAGGTGTGGTCACTGCGTTGGTACCTGGTGTCGAAATGCCATCACAACTCCTGTGACTCTGTGAGCAAAGGCAGCCAGTGCTTTTTGGGGTTGTAACAGCCCAGAGCATGGCTGAGCAGTTTTTATATTATTTTTAGGGTTTTGAAAACACGGTTTCCAAAACAATCTTTCTCTCCTGCCTTTTGTCATAAATTGTGGAACAGAGAAAATGGAAAATGGTTTGGTTAAATTGGCTTGGTTTTTTTTTTTTTAGTCTTAAAATAGCGTCAGCCTGTTCCGTGGTACTTTGGAAATTGGATTAGTAACATTCATTTCATCCCACCAGAGATGAGGGATTGATTTAAGGCTTCCAACAACAGAAACACTGGATATGCAAGAGCAGAGTTTTCCACCCCTCATCCTGGTATCTTGTAGTACTATTTTAAGCAGCCTCAGCCAGATATATATAAATATACTGGTCCAAACAACAACAACAGAATGAAAACGTTCCACCAAATGGGGGGAAAATAAGAAAAGAGATGCCAGCCCTTTTTGAAGAGCTTGTGTTGATTCTGGAATTAACTCTGGGGGAGTTAATCATTGTAATAAGTGATAAATGAACCTATTCCACTCTCCTTAAGCATGGGTGTGATGAGCACTGGGAGGGGAGCTTGTTCCTTGGCAGGGGGGAGAAAGAAAATATTGCTTGTAGTAACTAGAGCAACTCTGCTTTGCTGGGAAGAGGGAAAGAAGCAACTCAAGCTTTGCTAAGGTTTGCGTGGGAAAAAATATTTTTACTGTGATTTTGGAGAATTTGAGGCTCCTTCTCGTATTCTTTGCCTGCCAAATCTTCCCCCTTTGTAAGAGAGCTGGGAATCCTGAGCTCTTGTGATGCAAGTCACTGAGGAGTATTTTTTTTTTCTTCTTCTGTTTTTCAACATTTTCATCACAGCAGAGGTCAGAGTAAAGGATTATGTGTAACCTTCCTGTCTTTGTCTTTGTGACAGGAACAATGACAAGGGGAAGCTGGTCAGAGGAGCGTCACTGCTCTGTCCTTAATTTTCCTTGCGCATTTGAGGGCGATTTAATAAATGAGGCAGAGCCAAGACCTTTTGCTCCTCCTGCACTCACCAAGCAATCATCGCCTCGTCACGCCTCAGCTTCAAATACCTCGTTTGCATGTGGCTGACCTTGACTCTCCTCCGTGGATGGGAAGATGAGGTGGGAATATAAAGGCTGGGGCCTGGATTTTCTGGGCGAATCGTGAAATCGTGGCTGGTGGAGGCTCCGGCATGGGAGGTGCTGTGGAAACATCGTGTGCTGTGCCATGGAAGATGATAGTAAATGGATTAAGCAGGAGATAAAAAGGGAGAGAGAGGGCACCTGGTTAGCTATTGTTGAAGAAAACGTGGAAGGAAAAAACATCTAAAAAAAAATATGCTGGGGATGGTCATTAAATGCACTGCAGGTGCATTTTAATAATGTTCTTTTAATAATTGGCCATGTAATGAATATTTGAAATTATATAAAAAGCTCTTAAGTGAGTGAGGGCTTTTAGGGAATGGTTGGGGGGGAAAAAAGCAATACTGATTCTGGCAGAACTTTTAATTTAAGCGAGATCCTTTTTCTGAGATAACAGCTGCATTGAATTAACGGAAATATCCTCTCCATTAGCTCTGGCAGGAACTGGATAAAGCTCTCAGGTTAACTTTAATCCAACATTTGTCTGCAGAGTAGTAATAGTGGGAGCCATCCAGCTGCTGTAGGAGTAAGGATGGTGCTTAGGGCTAGGATAACTAGCCCTTGTACAAGTAGGAAGAGTAAATCAGGAGCGGACAAGACATGAGTTATAATGGAGCAATTATAATTTATGCTGATTTAGGAGGAATATTTAACTCAATTAAGCTAAGGATCTACCTTCATCTCAAGCTATGATTTATAACAGACCTCTTTAGGGAGGGCTTAGTAGTCCTGGGCTCTAGATAGATCTTTAGATCCAAGTTTACCTGTGATTTGAGAAAACTCAGGGCTTGAGCAGGAATTTGACTCTTTGGCTGAAAATGCTCCTATAAAATAAATGTCAAGGTTATAACTTCCACAAAATTCTAAGAGCTCCAGTGGAGAAAGCTCCACCTGGATTCTGGGGACAGTTTCTCAGAGAAGAACATTTCAAGTGCTATTGAAGTGCACTAAAACTCGCTTTTATAGGGCAGTTAATTTCACACATCGGTCTATCAACTTGACATGTTCTTTGAGAAGGGCAAAACTTTACAAGGCATTTTAAAAATAATTTCATTGGCAAGTGAGAACATTAAGAAACCAACATGGCTTTCCACCATGCAGTAGCCACTAGGCAATTATGATTTGTTTGTAGGCAGCCTAATAAAACCAGCAGTTAACGACCTAGTGAGAATTTAACCCACTACTCCACAGAGACATCACTTTTTTGTCCCTGTTTACCCTGCACCCAGTGCTTTCCAGAGAAGTTTAGTGATCAAATAAAAACTGCCTTACTGTTGAGAAGGGGGATGCACTGAGGTGGTGTTTCCCACGTGATGCTGCCACATTGTGATCACTTCCCCAAATCCAGTGTTTCTGCAGGAGCAGGGGGATGTCTGATAGCACAGCATGGGAGAATCTGAGTGCAGGGATTTTCTTTTAGTGTTTCCCTCTGTGCCAGACAGCACTGGTTATTGATAAACCTTCAGATCAAAGATGAGATGTTGCTGGTTTGCCTCTAATCATAGGTTGTTCTCAATATAGGTTTCTCTCTTAATATATTGTTTTTCTGTTTCTTTTGAATGTCATTCCAGGTGACCTTTAAAGGTCCCTTCCAACCCAAATTATTCTATGATTATTTTGATATATAATGAGTAGCAACATCTATTTTACTCTCATTATGCACAGTATTACATGATGTCTAGCCTTTTTATGTTCTTTCTTCTCCAGTTCCCTAATCCCTACTATCACTCTTTTATGCTCTTAATTATTTCTGTTGCTTATCAGTGGACTTTTCAGTTCTACCACCCATGTCTGGGGGGAGATGTGTGTGACTCACTGCATCATGACATCAGGTCAGTCTGAAGAAGAGCACTAGGGTGTATTCAGCTGTATTTTCTCTTCCTCCCTCTGTGTACGTGTTTTGTTACAAGCACTCTTGCTTTCTGAGCTCTCTCACACGGTTTGATCCATTTCTGGATAATCAGAGGGATATCAGGATTTAATCACTTCTCCGCTCTGAGGTCTGGCTTTTGAAGAGCCCCAGTCATGCTCCCCTTCTCACTTCATTCTGCCCTTGATGATGGAAATGTTAGGCCTTCATGGATCATTTTTCAACTTTGAGCATTCTGTCACTACTTCCCAAGAAAGGTTTTTGAGCCTTTGAAGGGTTTTGTGGTGGTAATGACAATCCTAATGCTTGATGGGGGTTGCTGTTGCCTGAGTTGGGAAACTTCCTGAAAAATGTTGCCTTTTTTTTTTTTTTTTCCCCTTTCAGGTGACTGTTTTCATCAACAGATGATGGGCTTTTGGGATGTCTTTTCAAAGGGAATTCCAATGTATCTCTGTTTGGGGTTTTAGAGGGGAACAGTAGTTTGTTGTTTTTTTTTTTCCACCAGCACCTGCTTACAATCCAATTAGCTAACCACCTTTAATTAACCATAATATATTTCAGGAGAACAGAGTAACAACAGAACGAAATCAAGCAATGACAAATCTGTGACTAAACTTGGACTCACCCTTTCCCAGGTGCAGGATTCTGGACAGCCCTGTAACTCCTTGCTGTCCCCTTTGAGCTCTGCCATGAAGTGCCTTGAAATGCTTGGGAGGGAGAGGATAGAATGGAATCCCTCATCTGCAGGTTCACAAGTGTGCAGTCACCAGTAAAGCCAAAGAGGCCAGTGGGTATTTCTGCCCCTGTTTGTCTGGGCTTTGCACACAGGAGCTTTAATTTATTATCTGAAGGTTTATGGGTGGAAGTCTTTGCAGATAGGAGAGCACGGCAGGGCTGTTGGAATGAAACAAGCTTGGTGTGATGTCTGGCTTTAGGTAGCTGATCCATGCCTTGGATCAGGCCTAAAAATTCTTTAAACTCCACAGCTGAGACAACACTGAGCTTCTGGGCTTTTTGTGAGTTAACTGAACACACCATTGCACTTCTAAACTGTGCACACCAATACTAAGCCAAGGCTTCATCCCACTCATTACAAACATGAGTGGATGGTTGCTTATATTGGTCATCTCAGTCACTGGAAGAAAGAGCTGGATGCCCCATAGGTATCTGGTTATATGCTTTCCTTAAAAATGTGGCTAGATGAGGCGTGTGGGACTCACTTCTTCAGAAGGGCGGGAGAAACAACTGATGCTCCCCAGGAAGGGCCTCCTTACCCAGCAGTCTGACACAGATTTGCTTATGAAGAGCTTTATAATTTGTCCTTATTATGTTCTATGTGTGATTTAATGAAAGACTCTTCCTCTGCTGTAATTGAGCTCTTAATCTTCTCTGAAAAGCAGAACACAATCCCTTCAGAAATGGTGTTTGAGTAACAGGCTGTTTGTGTTCCCTGCAGCGCGGTGCTGCTCACAGAGCCGCTCGCTCTTTATTTAAGAGCAGACAATAAACAGATTTCTTTGAGACAAAAATACATCAGCGGTGCCATAAGGAGTAGGTTTGAGTAGCAAACTATCTCAGCGCCCAACTGAGCAAGCAGGACCTTCCCTGGTTCTGCAAAGAATATAAAGAATTGAGTTTTCTTTAGTGAGCACCCGGGGCTTAGTGAAGGTGATGCTCAGCAAATGGCACACAGAGACAGAAGCTGTCAGGGAAACTGTTTGCTCTGGACAGGTAAAGGTTGGTAGGAGATAAAAGTGGAAACTCAAAATAACAGGATGCTGAAAAAATTGTAAGAGAAAAATTACTTCAGTGAAAATCTCTCCATCTTTAACCTTCAAAATAACCACCTTTTTTCAAAAATCCACAAAAATGTCCTGCTTTTGATCAGTCTTGATTTTCCTAAGTAGCATTTCACAATCAGAATTATGAGGTAAGAGAGTCTAAACAAAGCTTAGCACGGGGTTTTTCATTGTGACCATAGCAGATTTTTTTTTTTAAACTGTTTTTACAGGTTGGAAAGAGGCCACAAGCCTCCACTGTGGGATAGTGAGACTCTGTTGATCTCAACGCTCTCCAAACCTATTGCTGGACTGACTTGGAACCAGAATCCAGAGGGGACTATGTGAAGCACTTGACACTAGAAAATACTTGAAGCTGGATGCTGATCCACAGCTCCCAGTTCAAAACCACGGGCAATGCCAGTGGTGACCAGCTCGCTGCCTGCTCTGTGCAGAGCTGATGGTTGTGAGCAGCAGGGCTGTGGAATGAATGGGCTGTTGGCTTTTTGGGGAGCACAGAACCTTCCACCTCTACTGCTTTGCCCACACTAGAGAGTGCATTTTACTAGAGCAGTACCTGGGGAGTGGGAAGGACGAACAAGCCTTCCCTGCCACTGGCTGTCAGTGGATGTTGGGCTTGTTGCAAACATGCAAGTTACATCTTGTCTAAGTCCACGCTGTCAATCCACAGGATTGCAGGCTGAGCTCAGAGCAGCTCTGTCATTTACCAGGTTAGTGAGGACCAGACTCTGCATCACACTTCCACAGCTGGAGACGAGTGGGTCGAACTGTATCTGTCAACAAGATGAGGAACGTGTCATGTCTTATCTTGCCATGTACAGCAGATATCCTGATTTAAAATAGCGCTGTCTTCCCAGATTCCACTTCTTCCTGTGCCTCCTTGCATGTGAGAGGACCCATCCATCTTGATCCTATCACTTCATCTCTCCCACTCCTGCTTCCCTTTGTACTAATCCACCCATCCCTTCGAAGATCTCCATTACTGGAGTAATTGGCACTATTAGATCAGCCTTTGATATGATGAGCAGTGGATTTTTGTAGTCAACATGTCAATTTAAAGTGCTACAAATGAGAGATCAATTCCTTCTTTCCTGGGGAAGAAATTAAGGAGAAACCTTTTCGTGTTATGAAACTGAGTGTACAAAGCTGAGGAGGTTGAAGGTGGAGACGAGGTGGTCTCTTGAGAGGTGTAAATTTTTCAATTTAGCAGATTAGAAAGAATATGCTTTCACCTTTGAAGTAGTCAGGTGCCAAAATGATGCCACTTTGAGTAGGCAGGACTGGGGTGGGAATCGCTCACGTGGATTTTGACAGATCTATTCACACGAGCCCATTTGCTAATGCCAGCTCCCGAAGCAGGGACTGGAGAGAAGGCTGGTCGAGGACAATTTCTCTGCCTGATTTTACAGCATGTTGCTACAAGTCTGTTTGACAGTGTTTTTCATTCCCTTTGCATCCCTGGGGATGGTGTCCTTGATGAGACCATCCTGCCACATGCTTACTGCCTGCACGGCGACACCAGGGTGGCTTTGCTTGCTGCACCCATTTCTGTCCCCTTTCACTCAAAGAGGGGAATTCAATGAATTATTCAGCAGCATCAAAGGCCCTGTGAGAAATAATTAGTGCTGTGGCAATGTGAGGTAAAATCTGAGGGTCTCATGCTATTTGGCAGGGGATCAGGTGCCGCTGCAGAAGCTCTGATCCAGAGTGCAGCACCCTAAGACATTGTGGAGAGGGATGAGATGTCCTTTGTGGCACTTTGGTCCCACCTGGCACAGATTCTTGCCCAAAATCAACCCAAATCTCATTCTTTCCAAAGAACTGCTTTTTGTGCTTTCTGCCAGAAACAGGGCAAAAACTGGGAGGGGGAACCAATGGGGCAATGCTGAGGGCAGGAGCTCTGTTCCATAGGGATGCTGTGGAGAGGGCTGGAGGCAGCAGTACCCTGCACCTGCTCGTAGGTGCTCACGCAGTGTGCGCCACCCAGTCAGACCCTTCTGCAGCTGCTAACGTGCTCCTGATTGTATTTAATTAATTAGCAACATGATGAGAATCTGGAATCGGAGTTGTACTGGTGGAGTAGCAGGAAACAACATGTTCTCTTGGCTCTGGGGCTCCTCGCAGTACCTGCGGCTGCGCTCGCCAAGGTAACGGGGGCAGTGACTCAGAGGATGAGCAGGAGCGTCTGGCAGCGCAGGGCCGGCTCCATGGAGGCTGAGCGCTCGGATTTGGTGCTCCCAAGCATGGATCTCATGTCCCTGCAGTACCTTTCCATCCAGGAATGAGGTGGAAAAGGGTGGCTAGTCCCCAGGGATGTGGAACCAAGAGGCGACTGATGAGATGAATTTTCCGCATCAGCCTTTTCTCGCTGAGTTATTTCCTCATCTTGTAGGATGATGTGCTGGGATGTTTTTTTCTTTTCTGCTTTTTCACTGTTGCACTCTGGAAATCTGAACCTCAAAAATGCATTTTTGGGTTTTATGTTTTGTTGTTGTTGTTGTTGGTTGGTTGGGGGTTTTTTGTTTGTTTGTGGGTTTTTTTTGTGTGTGTGTGTTTTGTTTTTTTTTTTATTATGTTGACCTGTACATCTCTTTCAGTGGGGTTTGTTACTGTGTGGAACCTTGAGGTTTTTCCTGGATTTTGGGCCTGATTTTGTGACTAGTCAGGCATGTGCTTCATTTAAAAATACGGTCAGTCTTGTCGCTTTCTCAGGAGCTGCTCATATACCTGAGGTTAAGCAAGTTTCTATTTCCCAAGTGCCTACAGCTGTAATTGCAATTTAAAATAGTTTCTTCCTTTTCAGTCTCATGAGAATGATCTATTCTTTCATTCCTGGTACCTCCTTAGTTTGGTTAATTCCTGCTAGTCCCCTTTATGTCCTCTTGAATACTAAAAAGAGGCTAATGTTAAATACTTGAAAGCATCAGAAAAAGGTTTGGGGATATTCAAAAGCAAATGTGTTTTATAGCATTACCCTCCCTCAAAGTTCCTGCCATTTTTGGGGTGATTTTTTTACCCCTCCTTTTTTTTTTTTTTTTTTTTTTTTTTTTTTTTTTTTTTTTTTTTTTTTTTTTTTTTTTTTTGCTAACTGTGCTTCTGCTATCTCACTGCCAAGATTGCAAAGGAGCCCCAAGAAATCAACCTGCCAAGCAGATAAAGAAACAGATGTTGTAGAGTGCAAAGGTCAAATAAATACAGACAGCCTGGCTTTGCAAAACAGTGGGAAGCTGATTAGGTGAAAAGGAAGAGGTTTAGGAATGGAATTGCAAAAGGGAAACCTGTTTCTGAAGAGAAATAAAATACCATAGTCTCTAAAAAAAATCTTAATCAATTCAGGGCAATAATAGAGAAGAAATAATAGCTTACATTAGGTAAATGCAAAGCCCTGCTGGCCAGTGGACTCTGCAGGAATCCACGCAGCCTCTGCAGCCCTGCAAAGCTCTGCCTGGTGCATTTAGACTCTCATTTTCTCATTGTTTTCCGGCCTCTGTCACACAGGGAATAACAGGGAAAAGCTCCAATCTAGAAAAGCATTTAACAAGCTGTGGTAGGTAGGACTTGTATGTACCAGTCTAGCTGGCTGCTGACCCTGATTGTGGCTTTACTCCCCGTTTCTGAGTAATTTAGGTAATTTCTAGCTTATTAGAAAAGAAACATTCTTTAATTAAAACGCAGTTAATTCCAGCCTCATTAGCCTGGGTTGTATTTCACTGTTCCCAGTATCTCAGGCAGAGATGGGACTTGTACTTGTTTCATTACAAATGCAGAATGCCACCGGGTGGTCGCTCTCGGGTACAGACAGTGACTTACGTTGCAGGTTTGTCACCACTGACTGCAGAACTGTCACCCAGATCCATCCTAATGACTCCATCAACCAACCTGCCCTCCCAGAAGGGACTGGTGACTAAGGAGCAGCACTGAGTGCCTGAGTCTCTCTGTCCACCATGTGCCCTGGTGATGGTGATCCCTCTGGGCGATGCCCAGACCCTTCTCCCCACAGTGTGGGAGGAATGCAGAGCTGGTCTCGTGTCCGCTGCCACTGAGCCACAGCACTGGAGGGGTCATTTCATCCTGTTGATAAACATGAATGAGCCATGCAGCTCAAATATTGAACTGTGGCTGCATTCTGATGTAGTGAAGTGCATAAGAAGGATATGGAGCTGCTGGAGGGAACCCAGAGGGGAGGCCAAGAAGATGCTCTGAGGGCTGGAACATCTCTGCTCCATGGACAGGCTGAAAAAGCTAGGGTTAATCAACCTGGAGAAGGGAAGAACCTGAGGAGACTTAAGAGCCCTTCCAGTACCTAAACGGGCTCCAGGAGAGCTGTAGAGGGACTTTGGACAAGGACCTGGAGTGACAGGATGAGGGGGAAATGGCTTTAGTCTGACAGACAACAGGGTGTTGGGAAGAAATTCTTCCCTGTGAGGGTGGTGAGGCCCTGGCATAGGTTGCTCAGGGAAAGTGTGGCTGCCCCATCCCTGGAGGTATTCGAGGCCACGTTGGGTGGGACTTGGAGCAGCCTGGTCTAATGGAAGGTGTCTCTGCAGGGAAGTGGAATGAAGTGGTCTTGAAGGTCCTTCCTAATCCAAACCGTTCTAGAATTCTACAGGCTGCTGAACTCAGCCAAAGGAAGAGCAACATTGTAGAGGTTAAATGAAAAGGGAGACTAAAACCACCTGTGTTTGCTAGTTAAATCCCTTCAAACATCAATTAAGATTGTTCTGATAAAGACCAGGCAGCACTCAAACAGATGCTGAGCGGGGTTCATGTGGTGTTATCTCTGGGTAAGATCACAAAGGAGCTGTTGTTGCTCATTAGTCAGGGCTGAAATCTAAATCTCAGCAAGTGCAGCTTGGAGAGTGACATGTGCTGGCACCGGGGCTGCAGTGGGGGACTTGTTTTCAAAGAATCAGGAAATGCAGAAGAGAGGTTCCTGAAAACAGGAACTCTACGTACAGCCGGAACTGAGGCATCTGGCCAGGGATTTCATATTCACATACTGGGAGGGGAATCTAATCAGGACTTGCTAATTTTCATGAAGTCAAACACCTGGGATTCACTTCAGACTCGCATTTTCCTGGAATAATTCAACACAAACACTGTATATTTATACATGGGCACTTGACTTTTCTGTTGTTTGATGAGACTACAATTTGTCTTCCTCTTGTGGTTCCTGCAATCCTTCCTCTCCTGCGGTTTTCAGTCGAATTACCCATCTCTATCTCAGGACTGTTCATCTGTTATGCTTTGGATATTGTTGGTTCTTCAAAGGAAAGCAAACAATGCTTGTTTCAGCCAGCCCAATTCTCAGGCAGATTTTATTTGAACCAAGTCCTGCATCAATCCAGAATTCAAACTCATCTCCATTGTTGTTCGTCTCTATTATTTTTCTGCTTGTCACTGCTTTTCCATTTCTTCTTCCTATGCAGTTTTTATTCTTCAGCAGCATTATTCAAAACTACATAGAAGTCACATGCTGCTGCTTTCATATTCAAATCTTCTGTGTTATCTAATCTCAGCTAACTCTCTATTTAACATCTAGTTTTACCTGGGCTGACAGGTGTATTTTTAAGCTGTAAATACCGCACATAAGACATACAGAAATTTTCTTACCCTCCGAAGCTGATCAAGGTCCTTTTCTAATATGTCACTGGACATCTGAATTCTCCCTTTCTTCCAACAGCTTCCAATGCTGGTTTTATCTAAGATAAAGCAGGTAGTGCTGTTTGGATTCACTCCCTAGCTGTATTTCCATCTCATTCAGTGGCAGGGGTAGGATGGTGAACTGGGCAGGCAGCCTGTGCAGACAGGTCTGGAGAAATACGGACAGAAAGCAAAGCTGAGCGTGGCCAGTTTGATGCCTGTGCCAACATGAGCACCAGGCCTGACCTGCTGAGCTCACTGCCACTCCTGGTGCTCGTGCCAGCTGGGACACTGAGCCAAGGAGCTTTGCACAGACCCACAGAATCATTTAGCTTGGAACAGCCCTCCAAGATCATCAAGCCCAGCTGTTCCCCTCAGCACTGCCAAGCCTACCACTGACCCATCCATGTCCCCACGTGCCACATCTACATGTCTTTTAAATCCCTCCAGGGATGGTGACTCCACCACTGCTGTGGGCAGCCTGTGCCAGGGACAGGCCCTTTTGATGAAGAGCTTTTCCTAATATTTAATCAAAGCCTCCCTCGGTGCAGCTTGAGGCCATTTTCGTTTGTCCTGTTGCTTGTTTCCTGGGAGAAGAGGCTGTCTGACTGTTTACACACACACATGCAGGGACAGATGGGCGCATGGCTTGGGAAGTCCCTGTGATTCCTGGTGCAGAAACTCCTGTGGAAGGTCCTTTTTGTTACACAGTAGGTAAAAAAGTGGAGCAGCTGAGATGTGTCTTAACCAGGGAGAAATCTGAAGGCGGGGGGAAGAAATACGCTTTGAAAGAGAGTAAAACTTGCTGCCAGGTTTCCCTCAGAGAGCAAGTCTAATTTCTTTCTCTCTCTCTCTTTTTTTTTTCTTTTGGTGCTGTGTTATTCCTCCGTGGGCAGGAGGCTGCCAGCATTTCAATTCTCTTCTTCAAGTCCTTTTTTCAAAAAAGGGCCCAAAATATGTTCTGTTCTAAGAGGCAGTAAACAGCAAGTGCACAATGCAGCTTCTCTAAGCCTCTCTTCTCCTGTCTCAGGGAGAAAGGAATTCACCAAGCCCTAGAGCCTGACTCACTCGCTGTGTGAGCATGAATTAACCAGGAATGTTCGAGAATTATTCCTGAATAATTCATGAACCTGAATTAATCATGCATTTTCATGAATTATTCATGAATAACTCATGGAAATGCAAGGTTTATTCATGCTCCAAAAAACCCAAGGCTTTTTCTCTTCTTTTCTGTTCTGCTCTCTCTCCCTGTAAGAAACAGACCTGAAACAAGCTAAGGAAAAAAAAATAATAATATATGTATATGGAAAAATATCAGGAACAACAATGCTGAAATAAAACAACCAGGAAAAAAAGAAAGCAAAAGCTCTCTTTTTCTTTGCAGTGGGGACAGCAGGTGGGAGCTTTCCAAGCCAGACAAAGGAGACCTGACAAGGAACTGTGGTGAAGGGACAAACCCAAGGCAAAGAAGTGTCCGGTCACCACCTCTCCCGGAACAGGCAGCTGAGACCTGGAGAGACAGGAGACATCTTGCAAGACTCAACACCTGGAGCAGTGCTAACCAGGCAAGGAGCAGCTCTGTTGCTATCAGGATTTTGATCTCTTTCTTTCTCTGTGTGTGTTTGTTGTAGTTTTGTTGCATTCATTAGGGTAAATGAACAACTGGTTAGTGGGGAAGGAGGGAGCAGCAGCGGCTATGAAGATCTCAGTGTGTTTTCTTTAAACGTTAAAGCAAAACCCCTCTAGAGAGCTTTTTGGGCTGGGATTTTTTGCTGTTTGGAATGTGGAGCTGTGTTTCTGGGAGGGAGAAGGCTGAGTTATGCATTTATCCCAGTTTTTGGTCTGTAGCCTTCCCTGTGTTCGGGAGAGGGCTGGGGGCAGGCTCCTGCTGCAGGGAAGGGCATATGGGGAGACAGGCAGTTACCACCCGGAAAATTTATATATGGTGCTTCCTGATAAAAATAAATGTCACTGTGCCTCTGCCAACAGGGGGTTGGAGAGAACCAGGTGTGAGACTGTGCCAGCAGGGCAGGCTGGCGGATCTGGGGAGAGTTATGGTTGCTGCAAGGAGGTTTGCTGTAGTTGATGGTGGTGGAGGGGGGGAAGGAGAAAGTTCTCCAGGGTGAATTTGAACCTTCCAAGTGAGGGGAACCACTTTAGGCTTGACTTCAATGTGGGTGTGGAGGTGAAGCGAGAAACTGCAATAAATTGGCTCCTAGCTGCCCTTCCTGCCACCTTGTCCCTGCTCCACCTCTCCTCTCCCTGCCCCAGCTCCCTCCCATCAGCTGTGGACACTGTGGCCATTCTCCACGCTGTGCCCAGCACACAGGCTCAGCCCCTGTCCCCAGAACCCTTCTGCCAAATCCTGCTGCCGAGCAGAGCAGGCAGGACTGGGGTGATGCTCTGCCAGGGCCCTCAGGAGCTCTGGCAGGTGGTGTTAGATTGATTTTGTCTCCATGCATGGTGGAAAGATGCAAAGAAACCCTTCCTGAGCTCAGCAGCCTTTGTCTCCTTAGCTGCTCCTCTGGCACAGGAGGTTTTGAAAGTCACCATCAGCCTGGCTGTTGTTCCTTTGCTGAGCACTCTGTTTTCTCCAGTGATTTATGTCTGCAGATCTGGGGGGGGGAGAGAGGGTACCTCACTGGGGAGAGAAGTGGCCAGGACCCAGGATCCAGCTCCTTACAGCTTTGCTACTTGACTACCTTAGATATATCTGTCACTGCAGTCTGTGCCTTAGTTTCCCCACATGTGAAATGAAGGGAATTTGCTGCTCCCCTTATCAAAGCAATATTTACTGGGGAAAATATCTGCACAGGCAAAGCAAGGATAATTTCCTGGAATACTCCCAAGCCTTTTTGAGTCTCTTCTCCATACTGCCATGATATCATATAGATAACAGCTCTGCACTGTAGCAAATTGCTGTAGAACCACTGAGGCCATTTGAGCTGTGATGGTTCACATGGGCAGAGGAACCAGCCTGTGTCTGCTCAGTGGCTTATCCAGCATCTGCCCGAGGTGTCCTACGTGAGAGCTGGTCTTGCCTGACCCCATGTGAGAAGTCATGGCTGTCCCTGCAGTTCCACTTCAAACTGAACTTGAGCACTGAAGGCACATGCTCAGTCAGAGCCAGGACAGCCTCCCAGCCAAGGGGTTTAGGATGAGGCAAGCACAGAAGGGCAGGGATGGGAAAGGAGAAATAACCGGTAGAGAAGATGCAGGGAGAAGTATTTTCTTACCTGCAGGCTGCACTGCCCCAGGCAGAGCATCATTTACCGACACTCCCAACCCCGGGAGAGGCTGTGCCACGACATCCCCCTGATGCTCCCCTTGCTCCAGGTGGGCAGCCCTGATGTCAGCCAAGCTCTACGTCCTCATCAGCTGGCCCGATGGCAGCCGGGTGATCAGCATGGAGAACATCAAGGAGCCCCGCAAGCCCTTCCACCTCTACACGGTGGGTGAGCAGGTGCTGGCCCGCTGCCCTGGCTTCAGCGGGCTCTACTGGGGCATGGTGGAAGGCATAAGTGGTGAGTGACACCCCTCTGCCCTGGGCTTTGCCATTTGGGGCTGCTCGGGAGCAAACACGTTGAGAGGGAGTGCCGAAAAACCCTCTCTCCCTGCAGAGCACAAGGATATTTTAGAGAAGAAGCTGCTGGAAGACAGACAGCTCCTGGAGAAGTTAAGTAAGTAAGGTCTTTTGGGGATTGCTCCCCTCTACTCCCATGGGGCTTCTGGGATGGGAGGATGCTGAGCGCGTTGTAAGTCCCATCACAAATTTCACGTCACTGCAATCAGGGTAAAAAGCACAGGTAGGGAGGTGGGAGACAACACAACACTGATGCCCCATTGCACTTCTTGAGTATCCACCTTCCTTTCAGAAGCAGAACCGGCTGTCCACAGCATGGTGCCGTCCCCACCCAAAAAATCCAGGAAAACCTTCCCAAAATGGACCCCGGGGAATGCATCCAGGAAATACCACAGTGACAGGGCCTACCCTGCCAAGCAGCTGCTGAGGACAGGAGAGGACAGGCTGCCCCATGATGTTGGCAGCTCCTCCATCGTCAAGGAGAGACATGTCCTGGGCAATGCAGCAGGAAGCCCCTGCTCACTGGCAGGTCCTCCCCACCCGGCCAGCGCCTTCAGACCTCCATCCACCTTCATCACCGTGGCCATGCCGGGGCCAGGGACTTCCCAGGGTGAAGAAGAGAGGGCTGGTCCAGCTACCAGAGGTAACCTTGGGTTCTTGCTCTCCTGCCTGGTCCTGAGCGGCAGGGTGGGATGGGGACCTGCAGAGCAGCCAGGAGACCTCTGTTTTGCTCTGGGGCTGTGTGTGCTTTTTCTCAGGGCTACAGAGGTTAGAGATGACATTTTGTGGTCCTTTTCACCTGGGAGATCTCCTCAAGGGAGGCTGTCTAAATGAAGATGCCACTGTGATAGTGTGTAGTATCTGCTCTATCAGCCATCAGTTCTGTCTCCTGGGATAGCAGTTCTGTCCCCACAAGCTAAAAGGCAATGTAGCCTTTGTGAAACTCCCAAAAACCTTGTGCCTCAATTAGTCAAACCTTTCCAGATTTACCTATTTCCCTGCTTTCCCACTCACTGCTACAGACCTTAAATGTGCTTATAAAAATATGTTAGCATGTTGTTTACCTGCTGACTAACAGCAGTGTCCAGAGACACATTGGCTCTGCTTACCTTGCCCATGGCTTCTTTTGTGATGAGAACAGGAGAAGCCCTTGAGATACCACCTTTTTCTGATAACAAAATCCCAACTGATTAATCCTGGAAAGCATGTCTGGATCACTCTGTTTGTGCAAAGGGAATAAGATGTCATCATGCAATCCAGCAGGAGTGCTTAGATACTCTGTTCTGGAGACAGGGGGATTTAGGACCTTCTCAACAGCTGATTCTTCAGCTTGTCTCTTATCCCTGCTGCAGATTACATTGCCTTGCCAATGAAGAGGAAGTCAGATGGCATCTTGTCCCAGTGCCAGCAGCACATCTGTCTGAACAGGTAACACTTGAAGGTGCAGTGAGGACCCTGAATGTTTCACACATATATACTGATTTCACAGTGCAGGGTCTGTCCGCTCTGTTTCCATTCCCTGGTGGTGCTCGCTTTGAGCAGGTGTTAATGGAGGCTCAAACCCAAAGCACAAAAGGTAACAGGAGTTTGTGTGGGTAAATACAGCAGAACAATTGAGGCCCTTTTGCTCTGGAGTCCTGATACCTTGGGGGGGTCAATGGGAGGTCCCCCATATCTGTGTGGGGGGGCTTGCACAGGAGGTTGTCCACGGGAAGAACTTCTGATATTCTCTCTCCATCCGTTTAATTCTTGCTGCAAATGAAAACAGAATTGGCTTTGCTTTAAATTACAGCCTTTGAATTACAGATAATTCTCATCACGTATGAATATGAATATGAGCATGAAGATGTTTGTGGCAGTGCTGTTTAACTTGCTTGTTTCTTCCAGCCGTGAAGAGCAAAAGATTGACACTTTGCACGAGATGGATGACTTCGAGAGGGTTCAAAAAAATTTTGGTCCTGGTGAGATGGAAAGGTAATTAGCAAAAGAAGGCACTTGTTCTTAACTGTGTTTTCTTCCTCACAACAAGAGTGATCAGTGAGATCACAGCTGGGTGACAAAGTGGTGCAATTTAAGAACCAAAAGTTGCTGAATCTCTTTATAATCAGAGCCAGGTGTTTCTGATTGTAGGGCTTGGAGTTAGAGATGCAAGAAGGCTCTAAAACAGTGCAGAAACCACAAAGCTCTTGCCTATTATAATCAAAACTAGACCTATCATGTTTGAACATGGTTGTGTGTTCCTTGTTTTATTGTTCATTACTTTAATGACAAGTATCCACTTATAAAGTGACGCTAGGGGACAGTTTTTTTGCAAAGAAATGGGTGCCAAAAAGATTCATGTTACGGTTCTTGCATTGTCATTTCCCACGTCTGCTGTTTAATACCACAAATATGTGTCTCCTGGGACTTGCAGGATAGGGTTTATATTTTTCATTACGATTGACAAGAAAACTGAGCATCAAAATCTCCATGTCTGCATGACAAAGGGGAGCTGAAAGTTAAACTGAACATTTTGGAGTTACTGAAAAGTCCAGACCACGTCTTCTTCTCTCCTGTCTTACCCAAGCATAGTCAGATGAGCTAATACTCTGTCAGAGAAGTTGTCCTGGCCCTTCTTGCAGGAGGTGTGTAATCACTGCTTGGGTGGAGGTGCTGCATCCCTTGGCAATATCCACGGTGAGGCCCCGGTATCTTCTTGCCTTTACACATGCAAGTTTAATTTTTCAGGGTGGAGAAGATAGAGCAGCTGGAGAGGATGGTGTTGGACCTCCAACAGGATGTCCTCTCTCTGAGGAAGAAGGTGCAGAGGCTGGAATCCCTGTCCTTCCAGGAGGAGCCCCACCGGCAGCCGTGCGAGGTGGTGGAGCTCTTCAACGGCTACACCAAGGAACAGCTCAAGGAAACCATCAGGTTTGACCAGAAAATCAGCACAGCCTGCAAGACACTGCTCTACAAGCTCTTCACCTCCGACTACATCCAGAGCCACTCCATCACGGGGCGGAGGGGCAACACCTTCCGGGAGGCGAAGCCCATGATGGACGAGCGCTGCATCAAAATCATCAGGGTGCTGTTGAAGCAGAAGTTTGGAGATCACCTCAGCGACACCGTGATCACCGAGAAGATACAAAATGTGCAGAAAGCCCTGAGGCAGAAGTTTAAGACAGAATGTCTCTGAGGCACGGGGCGTGTGGGGGGTACTTGGTGTCTCCTCCTGCCATCCTCGTGTGTGCACCTGAGCCGCCCTCCCAGGAAAAGATGAGTCCAATCTGCTGCTGTTCAGCTGATTTCCCCCAAGGAGCCAATCCAAGGGAACCGTGTGCTAAACACAGCTCAAACCTTTCACTGCCAAACCTCTGCCTGCGTTAACTGAGCAGGGATTCTGCCCAGCTCGGCTGGGTTTTTGCACATCTTGCTGGCAACTCTGCAGGTTCCTTCCTACCCAGTCTGTGTGTGAACCTCACTGGAGGTGCATGTTGTTGTCTCTGTGGCTTTTTGATGATGTGCTCAAAAGCTGAGGGCTCCTGTTGGGTCCAAGTATGGGTTAGTAAGTCAGCTCTGTTTCACCTTGCAATGGGTTAGGGAGAAATGTTTGCTCTGGAATAGGTAGTCCAGCTGTGGATGGATTGTGTGTCACCCATGGAAATTACTTTGCATTAATTTTCCTTTCAAGACCAGATTATTTCCATGGAGAAATCCTGTACATTCTCGTGACACAAGAGTGAGGGATGAAGGACAAAATATGGCCCACTGTAGTTACACCTTTACTTCAAAGATCAGACATGCTATGGACACAGTCACCATAATTTAAACACAGTATTTATATCCTAGTTAAGAAATGCCAAGTACAACCAGAGAGTTTGCTGAAAGACTATAGAGAAGAGCTAGAAAGACACGTCTTTCTGCTCCTAAATAGCTCCGAGCTGGAGTTTGGGTGGGTTAAAATTGATTTTAACATTAAAAGAAAAAGATGCTGACACCAGTCCACTTAACACATTGCTGCAAAATGCCAAACGTTCTCTTTTACAAAGGCTTCTCAGACAAGAAATTGGTTTTCTAAGCTTAATTTTTAAATTATTCAGGAAAAGAAGTGTCAGTGGTTTTGCATTAATCAAAACATTTGGTTTAATTTATATGTTTTGGGTGTTTTCAAGTATTTAATTCCTTCACAGTTACAGGAGAAATAATAATGCAAAATAAATGTATTGGAAAAACAAGGAGCTGTTTTGAAAGGGGGGAAAAAAAAGAAATGTGTTATTTTCAGAATTTTCCTTCCCACTCTGCCTTTTTTTCCTAGTTGAAAAACAGAATCATTAAAGTAGGGCTAATGCTATGAAGCATTTTGATTTTGGAGGGAGATACGCTTGGCAGTGTTTCTGGCACTATTTTCATCAGATGTCTCTAACAGTCATGTTAAATTGGTGTAGATAACAACTAAAGATATTCCTTCTGTTTTCCCAGTGCAAATGCTTTTCCTAACTCTCTGTTATGCAAACATTCTGGTGATGCTTTCTCCTTTGTAAGGACCTTGACTCGAGCAGCAGCTGGAGCAGGTCCGTTGTGATCAAGTAGAGCTGAGAGTGCAGCCAGTCCTTGAAAAGACACTCAAACTGAGCAGAACTGCCCCCAGACGTCCTCAGTGCAGAAACATACCCTGAAATCCAGCAGCCTTGCCAGAAGCTTGTTACCTTCCCACCACAGGAAAGGCCTTAGGCTGGTATCACTGCTCAGGGAAACGCCCCAGGTGATGTTTCTAATGTTGACTTATCCAAGAGGAGATTGAGGAGGCACAAACAGCCTTATCCTGCAGAACCTTAAAGACCATCTCATTCCAACCTCCTGCCATGGGCAGGGACACCTTCCACTGGACCAGGATGCTCCAAGTCTCATCCAGCCTGGCCTTGAACTCTTCCAGGCATGGGGCAGCCACAGCTTCCCTGGGCAACCTGTGCCAGTGTGTCTCTCTCAGTCTTCCCTCCTGACGCCTCATCAGATCCCTCACCAAGCTGCGGCTTTGAAAGCCAGCTCACAAATGTTATTTATTAAAACAAGTGCTGCTGCTGTCCTCCCCTGCTGAGCCCCCTCTGAGGAGCTGCAGATCATTACTGCAAGAGGAGGGAGGACAAAAAGCCCGAGAGAGCGGACTTGCTGTGGGGCTCGACGGCTCCTAAAACGAGTCATCTCTAATCAGCTCCCTTGGAAGCAGATGAGCTGGGTGACCTTTCTGCTTGAAAGGCCCTTTGGTGGCTCCCTCAGAGGTGACTTCACAGCCTAAAACACTTGCTTATATTCAGCAAGTGCTGCTGGTAAGTGGGCTGATGGATGCTCCACGGCTCTGTGCGCAGCACTAATGAGTCGATGCTCAAATGGGCCCTTCTCGGATATAAAAGTTGTCCTCAGCTACTCTCAAAGGCTTTGATATGGCAGAGAGGGTTGAAGAAAGGCAACGCAGGCGGCTTTTCGTTAAACTTAATTTTTAAGGTATTTGCGAGCCAGAGGCAGCGTTTCCAGGCTAATTGGGAGCGCTCACAGACATCAGCGATCAAATGTCACCATGAGGATGCCAATGCTCCCACCTCCCTGAACTCTCCATCTCCGGCTAATCAGCCTCAAGAGGGGGGATCATGCAGCATTGAGATGTGGCATCCCCTCAGGGATGAAGGGGTCAGGGCAGATAGAGGAGGAGGAGTGTTTATGCCGGAACCACTTCACTTGGGGGTGTTGAAAGCCCATTTCTCTGTAAGTGATGAAGGGCAGCTCTATTGAATCCCATTAACCTCCCACTTTAAGTGAATTACTGGAGAAAACTGTACAGGTCTCTCTGTTGAGATTAATTACTCTGCTGAATCCTCAGCATCTTGTTAAAAACAATGCTCTCTGTTCAGCTTCTGGGTGCAGGAGTATGTGGGCAGGGAAAATTCAGGAGGGTCTTCAAGGACATTCTGCATTTTAAAAGGAAGCAGAAATGGGACTTGCCAACTTTTGCAAATGCAGGACAGGCGTGGAACATCCAGTCCTCCCTCCCTCCAGCAGGAACCAGAGCAGCAGTTCTGTCCTCAGGGTTTTCAACCAGGGTGTGCAGCAACTGAGCAGGGACCACACGGGGCTCTGGGGCTCTCTGAGGGCCCTTGGTCCCCAGCACCTCAAAACACTGCCATGGGGCACTGCCACCCACCACCTGGTTACACATCTTTTGTTTCCATAGGAGCTGGCTGGAAGCTGTGTTACTCACTGGCAGCAAAACACGGGCTTTCAGGGAAAGATGGAGCCTTCACCATTTATTTCAAATTAATTTCCTTGACTCTTCCAGGGGGATTCCATGTCCAGTACAGGCAGATTTTAATTTTCCCATTATGTGGCTTGTAGGAAACACTCACCACTGAGTCTCTCAATGTCTGCACTCGGTGCATCCCCTAGAAACCATAACACATCCATTCAACGACACACAAACCACAAGTATCAGATAAAGGAATCGTGTTAAAATGGAACTAAATCCCTTCTTGGGTCTTAATCAAGGCTTACAAAGCCTGGCTGCCTTTGCATGAGCCCCAGACAGCCACTGCTGAGTCTGCCTGATGCTCTGAGCTGGCTGGATGCAGTTGGAAAAATCACCTGACAGAGAATGAATGGAACAGGGGACTGTGGAAGTGTCCTGTCCTCGTGTCTTTGTCTTGGCTTGAGATCCCCCATCAGGCAGCTGAGGGGGGGGGGTCAATGAAATACCAAAAGAACAAGCCTTGGCCTGTAGGAGCTTGAAGCTGTGTGACTTCTCCACAGTGTCACTAGTAGATTTTAGATTTTTTTTTTTTTTTTTTGGTCTGGTAAGTCTTTATCCTATTTGGCTTCAAAAAGACAGTGAAAGAGGAAAAAAAAAAGCACACAGAGATGTGGCCCCAGAACTATATGTGTGTATTGTATTTGCATTTCTGGAATATTTTTTGATAAAAGTAATTTTTTGTACTGTTTTACATTTTTCTTGAAAGTATACCTGTGTGTGTTTTTTTTAAGAGTGCACACACATGCCTGGTAGGTGTGCAAATATATCAGATTTTATACTTTAAGCAACCTTTTATATCTCTGCTTCAGTCACATATTCATTGCACTTCATTTTTGTCACTGTTCCTCTGTCTGCAGTACATGATTGAATTATTCCACCTCATATCTCTCCATCTCCCCCATCTTTTCAGAGTTGAATGGAACTGGGGAGATCGTTATTAAAACACAGAAAGTACAGAACTAAAATTAACCAGAGCATCAGTTCTCTGTGTGATGAATACACCGAGGAAATAAAAGGCCCTTCCACTTCTAATAAAATCTGGATATGAATTGCCTCATGAAAGCTTAAATGAATTATATTCAGAGGCCGAAAAGAGAGAAGAGAGAGAGCTGAGAGCCGTCTGACAGCAGGATGGCTGCTCTCCTTGCCTTGGTGTGCAGACCAAAGAAAGCTCTGCAACCAGGTGTGACGTTCTGCTCAGAAGGGGAGGACTTGAGGAAGCACATGAGTCACATGTTCACAGGTCAGTAAGTCCCTCTCAAATGAATACTAACCCACTGAAATTGCTGGAGCTCCTCCCGCTGCCTCCTGAGGTCTCAGCCCTCTCTTCCATCCTTGCCCAAGTCACTTGATGGTGGAGGAAGGATCGTACAGAGGAGCAGTGTCTTCTCAACCCTGTTCTTGACCCACTCTGACGCTCCCAGGGTCCAACGAAACATTTGGGGTATGGACATGGCTTCTCAGCTTCTTATCTCTGCGTTAGAAGATGAAGGCTGGTGAGGAACATTCCCCAATTCACCCTCTTTGTAAAGCCCCAGCATCCCCTTGTCAACATCCTGTATGTGCTGTCCCAGGACATCACCCTTCTCGTGAGATGCAGTTTGGGGACGTGTTTTCTTTTTGTTGGGTGGGTTCTTTCGTTTGGCTGAACGTTACCTGAAGCCAAGGGGACTGCGTGCCTGACTCCCTGACAGAGAGATTAGCATCCCAGAAAGCCAGGACTGCATGGTGTTTATTGATTGCTTCTCTTAAATATAAGCAGTATAGCCCAGCGTGTCAGGCACCCAAGGGAAGAGGAGACTGCAGAACTGATGTACTCTTGGTAATGAATAATCGTTAAAACTCCAAAGGAGTTTATTATTATTACCATTAATTTAAGTTGTACTGTGCCCAGAGACATGGAAGGTGGAGACAGATGAGTTCATGACCTGCATATTACAGGCTGCATATTACCAGGTTTTAGCCTGGTAATATGAGAAAATCGATCGTTTCTTAAGTGAGAAGACTGATAAAATCACTGACTTCAGAGGAGCAACATCATTGCTTTTATATGTTCAACAAGCTCACTGGAATGGTGCCGGAGAAGGGTCAAATCCCTCTTCTGTATATCAGAAGAGTTAGTTTGCCCTCAGCTTCCCAGGGGTGGGAGGGAAGCAGGTAACACCATCCAGCACTCACACCATCACTTAGGGGAGGATTTCCCCTCTGTGATAACCTGCCCCTGTGCAGGTTGGACATTCCCTGTTCCATTTGTTGACTCCCTGAGGTTTTACATACCCTGAATTCATAATAAGTTGCCAAAAGTGAAGGAAAGCCATAGGAAGACCTCTCCAGCAAAAAAAAAAAAAAAAAAAAAA